TAGTCGAAGAGCGTCCACACCATGGTGCCGACAACCCAGTCGACCCCATCGGAGGCGTTCGTCGAGGAGTTGCTCTCCGCGCAGCGGGCGTTGAACGACTTCTGGGTGCAACCATTGTGGGGATTGTCGTGGGTCGTCTCGCAGCCCTCGTCCTCGTCACGCATCGTGTTGCAGGAGCAGCACTCGGATCCAAAGATGGGCTTGTGCGGCATCTCGTCGTGGCACTTCTCCAGCTTCGCGCGACTCTGATGGCTGAACCCCTGCACATCGACCGTATTACTCAACAAATCGTTGAACGTGAACATGTTGGCCAAAGTTGGGCGGGTCCCGTCCAAGCTGTTTGCGATCTCACTGAAGCGCGGTCCACCCGCTTCGTGCTCCCCCTCGCAACCACCTTCGTTGCAGAATGACCAGATGACGACAGAGGGATGGTTTCGGTCTCGCTTGACCATCGCACCCATGTTGGTAACGTATCTTGTCTCGTTCGCGAACAGCCGGTTCTCATCCATCACCACGATGCCGAGCCTGTCGTATATATCCAGCATCGAAGTCTCTGGCGGGTTGTGCGAAGTGCGGCGCCCGTTGCCGCCAACGGCCCTGGAAGCCTGAGCACGGAAGAGGTTGACGCGCTGGGGCACGGCCATGCCGACCACCGCGAAGGTGTTGTGGTCGCAGAAGCCCCGCACCTTGAAGTGCTGGTCGTTCAAGAAGAAGCCGTCGTTCGCATCGTACCGCAGCGAACGGAAGCCGTGCGGCTGCTCGACCGAGTCGACCGGGCTCCCGCTGCACTGCCCCAGGTGGACGGAGGCATGCACGGCGTAGACGACAGGCTGCGAGCTCGTCCAGAGCTGCACTGGCCCCGCCGAGAAGCTGGCAACTGCCGTGGCCGAGCCGCCCTTAGGCACGTCCACCAGCCCCGAGGTCGCCATCGCGGCCTGCGAGCCGTCTGGTGCGACCAGGCGGAAGCGGACGCACACCTTGGAGGCCTAGAAATGGGCACCAACACCAACACAAGGGGTTGCCTCCACAGGGGGAAGACGATCCTCGATTTCGGTGTTGGTGGCAATATTTCGGCCACCTTGGAAGCCAGAATATTACCACCATCACCGAGATCCGGATCTTCCTCCCTCGGTGGATGTACACCGCCGATATTGGTGTTGGTGTCAATCTCTAGGCATGCGAACCTGAGCGGCGGCACCTCCGGTGTTGGTGACCTCAGCCGCGGCGCGCATGTTGGCGGAGGGGCCGCCGTCCAGCGACGCGGTCAGGTTCGAAGAAGCGAAGAAGCCATCCTGGGCCACATGGACGGGGCTGGCCTTGACAAGCTTGACGTGCCGGTACAGGCCGCCTCCTTCGTACCACCAGCCACTGCCTTGCTCACGCCCGCCTTGGTCCCCGTTGTCAGGGTCCACGAACACAGCAATCACATTGGCCCCGCCGAACTTGACATTCGTGATGTTGTCAAGGCGCAGTCGGAACGGGGTGTAGCCGCAATCATGGTAGGCGGCTGCTTCCCCGTTGACCCACACCGTGGTAGAACGAAACGAGCCCTCGAAGTCCAGCCACACAGCGGAGCCTCTCCACTCTGCGGGGAGCGTGAAGCTCTTCCGGTACCACAGCACGTGCCGAGGGATGTACGACTTGCCAGAGCACCCGGTCGGGCACGCGGCCTTGGAGGGTGCCGAGGCGATGAGACCGTCGTGGGGCAGCTGAACGTCCTGCCAATCCGCGTCACTGTAGGTCGCCTGGGCCTCGGCTGGGCTCGGCCCGGGGTCGGGGGCCACTGGCGGCTCGGCGTCCGGTGGGTCGGCCGCGTGCAGCCCAGCGCGGTGCTTCCATCCGAAGTCGAAGGAGACGACCTGCCGCGCGGCCGCGTGCGAGAGGCACAGCAGGGCCACGGGCAAGACTGGACGCCTCATGGCCGATGGGTGCGGGCGGCGCGCGGAAGGGTTTCCTGAGGGGCGCGCTTCAGAGCTCCTCGAGCCGCAGTACCTGCGGAGGGCGGGAAGGGGGGAGGAGGCAGAGGAGGGAGGCAGAGCAGGACTGGAGGCGAATGGATGAGGAGATGGGAAGTAGGGGAACGAAGAATGCCATAAACATAAAACTCGGAGGCCCGCGCGGATTTCTCGGATCCGCGCTGGACCCCCCTCCCTGGCGCGCGGAGCGCGCCAGGGGTGGCGCTGGAGGCGCCGCCGGGAGGCCCCCAGCGCCGATCTGAGAAATCCGCGCGGACCTCCGAGTTTTCGTGTTCATGCCACTTTTTGGTCCCCTAGGGAGGGGGAGCAGGGGAGCACGGGGGAGAAGAAGGGGGGAGGAGGCAGGGGGGAGGGGAGAGGCGGGGCTGGGCCCCTGCGTGCAGTGAGTGAAGGCGCGTCCTAGGACCCGACCCGCGCAGCCGCCGAGCCAACGCACCCAGGGGAAGGCATCGAACAGGGCAGGGCCATGCGGTAAACGCCCAGGGCCGTTCAGCAAACTCCAAGGAACCGAACAGGGCAGGGCAGGGCAGGGCTGCGTGGTAACCCAAGGCAGGGGAACTCCAAGGAATCACCCAAGGAAAGAATCGAACAGGGCAGGGCTGTTTGGTAAACGCCCAGGGCCGTTCAGCAAACTCCAAGGCACCGAACTTCATACACCCATGCGTTGTTCTGGTCCCGCGCTGAGCTTCGCACAGGAAAGCGGATTATGGTGTCTAGGGCGTCCTGGTGTATACATGTTTTGTTGCTTCCACGGCGAAACGGGGAAGCAAGTATACACCACACCACCCCGACGTCGCCCCCGACCCCCAAAACTTCCTGGAATTGAGCAATAGCCCGCCACTGGTCATGTATATGCTCCAGTTTCCGAAACTCCAATTATCGGTGTCGACATTTTTTCCTCCCTTGAATCAATTGTAGGCATGCCACATCTCGGTCCCCACCTCTGCCGCTGGCGGAAGACGATGCGGACACCCGCGAGCTCGTGTCGAGCAACTTCCCGGGCAAGTGAAAACAACAAGACTTGCCGGACAAGCCAACATACAAACAAATCAACACATATTCCGGAAATTTCCTGGCGGCGGTATCCTTGTTTCCGATCAGCCGCAACACAGTCGGACTTGACCGGAGAGGACACGCGGAGAGGACACAAGACCCTGCCGAGGGCCACGTTGCCACAGAACTGCAGGAGGCATGGGCGCAAGGCACAAGACACGAGGGTACCCCCGATCTGGCAGGGTCGACCTGCTAATCCGAGCCGCCTGTACAGTCGGGGCCTTGACCTAAGGAACCCTAAATAAGGAACGAGGCCACCTTTTCCCATAAGTTAAACTTCGATTCCCCATGGAAAAGCTAAGGAAAACCCAAGGCAAAATGTAAAACAATCAAGGAACACCGAGCCCCTCCCCAATGAAAAGGGTTCCTTCTCCAGCGCCCCGCCTGTACCACTTGCTCCCGCCAGCTCCGCCGAGGACTGCCCGGAGGGCTCCGGAGGACACTCCTCGGGCCGACGGCCCGGGGGTCGACCCCACACCCCGGGCGCCTCCCCCCCCAGCTTCCGCCGATATCGAGGACCGCCCCGAGGGGGCTCCGAAGGGCATTCCGCGCGAGGGGGGCCCTGGGGTCGGGCACGCCGCCGTGTGCACCGCGCTGAGCCTGACCACAAAGCTCGTGGTCACGCGCTCCGCGCTCCGTGGCCCCTCCGGAGCCCTTCGCCCCGTCCACGGACGCGCACGAGCAGGCGCAGGGCACAGCTCCTCCTCCTCCTCCTCCTCCGCCTCCTCCTCCTCCTCCTCCTCCTCCCTCCTCCTCTCTCCTCCTCCTCCTCCTCCTCCTCCTCCTCCCTCCTCCTCCTCCTCCTCCTCCTCCTCTCCTGTCTCCCATCCACGGACGCGCACGAGCAGGGCAGGGCACGGCAGGGCCAGACCCGTCATCTTATGGCACCGCACAGCGCCACTCTGGTGTCCGTGGGCCCGCGGTTCGTCCTCAACTCGTGCGTGCCAGTCGAGGTGGCAGCGGAAGCCGCGGCCAAGTCCGCGGCAATTGCGCGGGCCAGGCCCAGGGGAGGCCCCTCCAGGAGGCCCCTCCAGGGAGGATGGAGGAGGGAGGAGGGGGGAGGGAGGAGGGAGGAGGGAGGAGGGAGGAGGGAGGAGGGGGGAGGGAGGAGGGAGGAGGGAGGAGGCCCCTATCCAAGCGATTCAAGGAGGCCTCCCCAGGCGGCCCAAGGAGGCCTCTCCAAGCGACCCAAGGAGGCCTCTCCAAGCGACCCAAGGAGGCCTCCCAGCAGGCCCCTCCAGGAGGCCTCTCCAAGCGACCCAAGGAGGCCCCTCCAGGAGGCTCCTCCAGGAGGCCTCTCCAGGAGGCCTCGCCGTGAGCGGCTCCCAGAGGCCTCTCCAAGCGACCCCAGGAGGCCTCCCCAGGCGGCCCAAGGAGGCCTCTCCAGGCGGCGAAAAGTACCCCGGCATAAGCCTGGGAGAAGCCCCCAGAACACTCCAGGGGAGGGCCATGTTTCGACACCCCTCACGAAGATCGTGGCCTCCGAGGGGGGAGCCGCAATCGACTACCCCCACTCCCGCCCCAAGAGGCCCCCCAAAGCCCCCCAAGAGGCCCTGGGGGCCCCCGAGAACGCAGAATCGAAAACAAGTTGGAGCCCAACGCCTCGGGTGCAAATCGGTGGCCAGGGCTGGCCGGGGGAGCTCGCTTCTTTCTTGCTCGGGCGCTGATGTGGGGAAGGCGAGGAGGGTGGCCACGGGAGGAGGCCACTCCGTGGGCGCCCCACGCTGCCGAGAGTCACAATGGCACCGCCGAGCTGCGTGAGGCACCTGGCAGCCTGCTCCCGGCAGCGCCCCTTTGAAACCTTTCCAAACGAACCGCGCCGACTTCTGCGGGCGTCTCGCCCAACACTGCCAGCTTGCCGGCGGCGGCGACCTGCTGGCCTGCCGGCTTGCCAGCCTGCCGCAGGGCGCCGGCGGCCTGACAACAGAGCGCGGACCTCGGCGGCCCGGGCGCCGGCCCCGTCGAGGCCGCTCAGACGAACTGCACCGACGCCGTCGGCTCCTCGCCGCGGAGGTGCGCGAAGAAGTCCACCGACTTGCCGGCGGCGGCGGAGGCGACGGCCATGACGCCGCTCTCGGCGGCGTCCAGCGACACGGGGATGGACACGGTCACGGGGCGGAAGCCTGGCGAGCTGGCCTCCACGACGATCGGCTCCACGCGGGGCTGCGCACGGGGGTCTGCCATCGGCCCGCCCGTGTCGATCCTGGAGAGCAGCTCCCTCTCGGCGGCCGGGCGGGCGGCCACGCTGGTCACGCGAACCACCGCGCGCACGAGACCGTGGTAGGCCGAGTGCCAGGGTGCGTCGTTGGGCTCGTAGCAGTGCGGGTCGCCGTTGTGCGTGCCCTGCACGCGGCCGGGCCCGCTGACGACCCGGAAGCTGACGTTGTGGCTCGCGCCGCGCATCACGGCGCCCCCGGCGTCGACCACGGAGGCGCGCAGGAGCGCCGCATCCTGGCCGTCCAGCAGCAGCGCACCGCCGGTGCCCGTGAGGTGGCTGGGCGCGTCGATGGTCAGCAGCAGCGCCGTGGCCGGGCCTTTCAGGGTGCGGCGGGCCGCAGTGGCGACGACCGCGCCCTCGCCGTCCAGCGCCTTGGCCACGAGGCTGCCCGCCTCCCACGGCACTTCCAGCCACTCGGCGTAGGACCCCGGGCCCTTGGCCATCGGGACCACGGATCGCGCCCCCTGGGACTTGGCGTTCACGAACAGCTCCACGCTCGGGGCAGAGGTGTACGCGTGGATGCTCCTGGTCTTGTTGCCGCGCGTCTCGTTGAAGCTGTCCGGGCTCTCCCACGACTCGACCAAGAAGACTTCGTGTGCACCGTGTGTGGGGAACGTCTTGTCTGGCCCGTCCGGGATCGTCAGCAGCCACTGCGTCCGGTACCAGAAGGCCGCTGCCTTGGGGAAGCCACACAAGTCGAACTGCCCATAGGTCGAGGACACCTCGAAGCCTGGTTCGGGAGGCTCCCCGTAGTAGTCGAAGAGCGTCCACACCATGGTGCCGACAACCCAGTCGACCCCATCGGAGGCGTTCGTCGAGGAGTTGCTCTCCGCGCAGCGGGCGTTGAACGACTTCTGGGTGCAACCATTTTGGGGATTCTCGTAGGTCGTCTCGCAGCCCTCGTCCTCGTCACGCATCGTGTTGCAGGAGCAGCACTCGGATCCAAAGATGGGCTTGTGCGGCATCTCGTCGTGGCACTTCTCCAGCTTCGCGCGACTCTGATGGCTGAACCCCTGCACATCGACCGTATTACTCAACAAATCGTTGAACGTGAACATGTTGGCCAAAGTTGGGCGGGTCCCGTCCAAGCTGTTTGCGATCTCACTGAAGCGCGGTCCACCCGCTTCGTGCTCCCCCTCGCAACCATCTTCGTTGCAGAATGACCAGATGACGACAGAGGGATGGTTTCGGTCTCGCTTGACCATCGCACCCATGTTGGTAACGTATCTTGTCTCGTTCGCGAACAGCCGGTTCTCATCCATCACCACGATGCCGAGCCTGTCGTATATATCCAGCATCGAAGTCTCTGGCGGGTTGTGCGAAGTGCGGCGCCCGTTGCCGCCAACGGCCCTGGAAGCCTGAGCACGGAAGAGGTTGACGCGCTGGGGCACGGCCATGCCGACCACCGCGAAGGTGTTGTGGTCGCAGAAGCCCCGCACCTTGAAGTGCTGATCGTTCAAGAAGAAGCCGTCGTTCACATCGTACCGCAGCGAACGGAAGCCGTGCGGCTGCTCGACCGAGTCGACCGGGCTCCCGCTGCACTGCCCCAGGTGGACGGAGGCATGCACGGCGTAGACGACAGGCTGCGAGCTCGTCCAGAGCTGCACTGGCCCCGCCGAGAAGCTGGCAACTGCCGTGGCCGAGCCGCCCTTAGGCACGTCCACCAGCCCCGAGGTCGCCATCGCAGCCTGCGAGCCGTCTGGTGCGACCAGGCGGAAGCGGACGCACACCTTGGAGGCCTAGAAATGGGCACCAACACCAACACAAGGGGTTGCCTCCACAGGGGGAAGACGATCCTCGATTTCGGTGTTGGTGGCAATATTTCGGCCACCTTGGAAGCCAGAATATTACCACCATCACCGAGATCCGGATCTTCCTCCCTCGGTGGATGTACACCGCCGATATTGGTGTTGGTGTCAATCTCTAGGCATGCGAACCTGAGCGGCGGCACCTCCGGTGTTGGTGACCTCAGCCGCGGCGCGCATGTTGGCGGAGGGGCCGCCGTCCAGCGACGCGGTCAGGTTCGAAGAAGCGAAGAAGCCATCCTGGGCCACATGGACGGGGCTGGCCTTGACAAGCTTGACGTGCCGGTACAGGCCGCCTCCTTCGTACCACCAGCCACTGCCTTGCTCACGCCCGCCTAGGTCCCCGTTGTCAGGGTCCACGAACACAGCAATCACATTGGCCCCGCCGAACTTGACATTCGTGATGTTGTCAAGGCGCAGTCGGAACGGGGTGTAGCCGCAATCATGGTAGGCGGCTGCTTCCCCGTTGACCCACACCGTGGTAGAACGAAACGAGCCCTCGAAGTCCAGCCACACAGCGGAGCCTCTCCACTCTGCGGGGAGCGTGAAGCTCTTCCGGTACCACAGCACGTGCCGAGGGATGTACGACTTGCCAGAGCACCCGGTCGGGCACGCGGCCTTGGAGGGTGCCGAGGCGATGAGACCGTCGTGGGGCAGCTGAACGTCCTGCCAATCCGCGTCGCTGTAGGTCGCCTGGGCCTCGGCTGGGCTCGGCCCGGGGTCGGGGGCCACCGGCGGCTCGGCGTCCGGTGGGTCGGCCGCGTGCAGCCCAGCGCGGTGCTTCCATCCGAAGTCGAAGGAGACGACCTGCCGCGCGGCCGCGTGCGAGAGGCACAGCAGGGCCACGGGCAAGACTGGACGCCTCATGGCCGATGGGTGCGGGCGGCGCGCGGAAGGGTTTCCTGAGGGGCGCGCTTCAGAGCTCCTCGAGCCGCAGTACCTGCGGAGGGCGGGAAGGGGGGAGGAGGCAGAGGAGGGAGGCAGAGCAGGACTGGAGCCGAATGGATGAGGAGATGGGAAGTATAGGGGAACGAAGAGTGCCATAAACATAAAACTCGGAGGCCCGCGCGGATTTCTCGGATCCGCGCTGGACCCCCCTCCCTGGCGCGCGGAGCGCGCCAGGGGTGGCGCTGGAGGCGCCGCCGGGAGGCCCCCAGCGCCGATCTGAGAAATCCGCGCGGACCTCCGAGTTTTCGTGTTCATGCTACTTTTTGGTCCCCTAGGGAGGGGGAGCAGGGGAGCACGGGGGAGAAGAAGGGGGGAGGAGGCAGGGGGGAGGGGAGAGGCGGGGCTGGGCCCCTGCGTGCAGTGAGTGAAAGCGCGTCCTAGGACCCGACCCGCGCAGCCGCCGAGCCAACGCACCCAGGGGAAGGCATCGAACAGGGCAGGGCCATGTGGTAAACGCCCAGGGCCCTTCAGCAAACTCCAAGGAACCGAACAGGGCAGGGCAGGGCAGGGCTGCGTGGTAACCCAAGGCAGGGGAACTCCAAGGAATCACCCAAGGAAAGAATCGAACAGGGCAGGGCTGTTTGGTAAACGCCCAGGGCCGTTCAGCAAACTCCAAGGCACCGAACTGCATACACCGATGCGTTGTTCTGGTCCCGCGCTGAGCTTCGCACAGGAAAGCGGATTATGGTGTCTAGGGCGTCCTGGTGTATACATGTTTTGTTGCTTCCACGGCGAAACGGGGAAGCAAGTATACACCACACCACCCCGACGTCGCCCCCGACCCCCAAAACTTCCTGGAATTGAGCAATAGCCCGCCACTGGTCATGTATATGCTCCAGTTTCCGAAACTCCAATTATCGGTGTCGACATTTTTTCCTCCCTTGAATCAATTGTAGGCATGCCACATCTCGGTCCCCACCTCTGCCGCTGGCGGAAGACGATGCGGACACCCGCGAGCTCGTGTCGAGCAACTTCCCGGGCAAGTGAAAACAACAAGACTTGCCGGACAAGCCAACATACAAATAAATCAACACATATTCCGGAAGTTTCCTGGCGGCGGTATCCTTGTTTCCGATCAGCCGCAACACAGTCGGACTTGACCGGAGAGGACACGCGGAGAGGACACAAGACCCTGCCGAGGGCCACGTTGCCACAGAACTGCAGGAGGCATGGGTCGCAAGGCACAAGACACGAGGGTACCCCCGATCTGGCAGGGTCGACCTGCTAATCCGAGCCGCCTGTACAGTCGGGGCCTTGACCTAAGGAACCCTAAATAAGGAACGAGGCCCCCTTTTCCCATAAGTTAAACTTCGATTCCCCATGGAAAAGCTAAGGAAAACCCAAGGCAAAATGTAAAACAATCAAGGAACACCGAGCCCCTCCCCAATGAAAAGGGTTCCTTCTCCAGCGCCCCGCCTGTACCACTTGCTCCCGCCAGCTCCGCCGAGGACTGCCCGGAGGGCTCCGGAGGACACTCCTCGGGCCGACGGCCCGGGGGTCGACCCCACACCCCGGGCGCCTCCCCCCCCAGCTTCCGCCGATATCGAGGACCGCCCCGAGGGGGCTCCGAAGGGCATTCCGCGCGAGGGGGGCCCTGGGGTCGGGCACGCCGCCGTGTGCACCGCGCTGAGCCTGACCACAAAGCTCGTGGTCACGCGCTCCGCGCTCCGTGGCCCCTCCGGAGCCCTTCGCCCCGTCCACGGACGCGCACGAGCAGGCGCAGGGCACAGCTCCTCCTCCTCCTCCTCCTCCTCCCCTCCTCCTCCGCCTCCTCCTCCTCCTCCTCCTCCTCCTCCTCCTCCTCCTCCTCCTCCTCCTCCTCCTCCTCCTCCTCCTCCTCCTCCTCCTCGTCTCCCATCCACGGACGCGCACGAGCAGGGGCAGGGCACGGCAGGGCCAGACCCGTCATCTTATGGCACCGCACAGCGCCACTCTGGTGTCCGTGGGCCCGCGGTTCGTCCTCAACTCGTGCGTGCCGGTCGAGGTGGCAGCGGAAGCCGCGGCCAAGTCCGCGGCAACTGCGCGGGCCAGGCCCAGGGGAGGCCCCTCCAGGAGGCCCCTCCAGGGAGGATGGAGGAGGGAGGAGGGGGGAGGGAGGAGGGAGGAGGGAGGAGGGAGGAGGGAGGAGGGGGGAGGGAGGAGGGAGGAGGGAGGAGGCCCCTATCCAAGCGATTCAAGGAGGCCTCCCCAGGCGGCCCAAGGAGGCCTCTCCAAGCGACCCAAGGAGGCCTCTCCAAGCGACCCAAGGAGGCCTCCCAGCAGGCCCCTCCAGGAGGCCTCTCCAAGCGACCCAAGGGGGCCCCTCCAGGAGGCTCCTCCAGGAGGCCTCTCCAGGAGGCCTCGCCGTGAGCGGCTCCCAGAGGCCTCTCCAAGCGACCCCAGGAGGCCTCCCCAGGCGGCCCAATGAGGCCTCTCCAGGCGGCCCGAGGAGATCTCTCCAAGCGACCCATGGAGGCTCTGCACGACCCTCTTCGTTAGAAGTACGGGGGTTTGTTCGGTTAACGTCCTTGCTGTACTTCCCCGCTGGCGGAGGGGGGGACTGGGTAGGAGGGGGGATGACGCGCGCAGAGGACCGCAGAGGAGGGAAAGAGGGGGGGATGACCAATGCGTGGTGCGCTCCACCCTGTCTCTGGATGCGCCATACTTTGGGCGATTTCGCAAGTAAGGCGGAAATACCCGCCCTACTTTTCGAACTCTTGTGATGCCGATTTCCGCCCTACTTTGCCGTCGTTGTTTCCGCTATACATTTGCGAAAATATCCGGCGTACGATGAGGACATCGGATAAGGAACCATTGAACTCGCCGGCCCAACGGGCCAAAGGCGTGCTAAGATCTCCGGTAACTGGTTAACAATATTCCTCGTTCGCGCGCGCGGAGCGGCCCCTGGGGGCCCCCGGACGAAAAGTACCCCGGCATAAGCCTGGGAGAAGCCCCCAGAACACTCCAGGGGAGGGCCATGTTTCGACACCCCTCACGAAGATCGTGGCCTCCGAGGGGGGAGCCGCAATCGACTACCCCCACTCCCGCCCCAAGAGGCCCCCAAAAGCCCCCCAAGAGGCCCTGGGGGCCCCCAAGACGCCGCCAAGGAGCCCCAAGAGACTCCCAAGAGGTCCCTGAGAGGCCCCCAAGAGGCCCTAAAGAGGGCTCCAGGGCGGGCGGAATGAGCGAAGCGATTCAATAAGGAACCCAGGGTCTGGAAGCCAGTGGAACGCCAACTGAGGCTGGGCCATGGATATCACCGCCGTCCTCCTCAGATAAGGAATCGTACAGGGCCTCGAGCATCATGGGCAAATCCCTGAGCGAACGCCCCGCCCCCAGCGTACATTTCTGAGGCGGAAATTTCCGCTCTGCTTGATTGCATCATCGTTTGGCGTGCATTTCCGACACAAAGCTCGGAGCCTGTTTTCTGCAGTAGTCGCGATGACGAGCGTCACCGAGGGAGGGGGGGAGAGCTCGCCCCCACGATCACAGCACGGCGGGGGGCCGCCAGAAGTCGCAGGAAATCCTCGAAGAATGTTGGCAGAACAAGGAACTCGTAGGAAATCCTCGGGGGGCCGCCAGAACTCGTAGGAAATCCTCGTAGGAAATCCTCGAAGTCGTAGGAGATCGTTCCCGACCCCCCTCACCTGGTCTGCGCGAACAGCGCACGTGCTGTGACCTGTGATGCTCCTGGGAGCCGAGAACAGTGGCGGGCTCAACGGACTCGGACGGGAAAGGCCCTCTCTCCCTTCCTGGGCGAGCAGCGACATATGTACATGTACGCCCTCCGCGGTCTTGCCTGCACGAACGTCCTCGTTGACACGCACTCAAAGGGAAGCTTACCGCGTACGTGTACATATGTTGCTGGCCTCTGGACGCTGCCAGCCGAGCAGACGTCGATACGCAGTCGCAACAGGGTCCGAAGAACGTGCACCGAGATCGTGATGGGGGCCGATCCACGGCCGTTCTCGCCCAGACCCTGAAGAGACAGGTGGAGGCGGGGAATCCATCAAAGCACGGCGGAACTGGAGTCAGGGCCGTCCTGGCCAGATTCCGAGACCCCGAAGTTACCTAACAGCGAAGACTGATAGGTTTCTAGTAGGGTCAAAAGAGAGCATCATGACTCCCCAGGGGGGTCTGGGCGGGATCCGGCGATCTGCCGGCGCTCTGCCGCCGCCACCCAAATCGCCTGGCCGTCCTGGCCAGATTCCGAGACCCCCGACGTCATGATTTTTTCATGACGTCGACCCCCCGAGGTCTCGACCCATTCCCCGGGACCGGTTTTTCGTCCCGAGTCGTTTTTTGACGGTCCCGAGGGCCGGCAAGGGCCCCCAGAGGCCAAAAATAGCGAAAAACCTCCCGTCGTGATTTTTTCACAACTCGAGGGGGTCTGGGAAAGCACGGCGGAACTGGAGTCAAGGCCGTCCTGGCCAAGTTCGGTCCTCCAGCGCGGGCGCCCCGCCCCCTGCCCCGGCCTCGATCTCGAGCGCGTCCTGGCGCCGCGCCGCGCTGCGCCCGTCCGGCACTGGCCAGGCCCCGGCGGGGCCCCCAGGGGGGGGGGAGAGGGCGCGCAACGTTTAAGTCGGGCCTGTCCCCCTACAGGGGGATTTTCGACGAAAAAATAGAAATACCCCCAAAATATTCCAAAAATAATCCAAAAATAGTCTGGGGACTATTTTCCGAGAGTTTGTTTTACCTTTTTGGTGAATTTTTGGGTATCTTTTATTTTTCGTCGAACCCCCCCTGTAGGGGGACACGCCCGACTTAACGCAACGTCGGTGGCAACTCATGATGGCCTCCCGTGCCATCTTGCTGGCTCTTGCGAACCGAAGCTGACCGACGCTGCGTTATCGACGCCAAATCGACGCCAGCGGACGCTCCGATGATCTGCTGCAGGACACGGCCCTGCGCAAAGGCAGACGCTGTGAATCTCAAACGCTGCGGCCAACAAGTCTGATTTAGTGGCGGAACCTTGGTGATCCAGGCTTATGTCTTGGATGAACTGCATAATGGTGTTCAACATGATGCCACTTCCAGATCTTCAAATGTGTGGCTGTGTTGGCGTATACGCATGAAACCCATGGTCCTGCATGAATCTCTCAACTTTTTGAAGGAGGCTGTGCGAGGCCAGAAAGCGTAGACGCGCGGCGCGTACAGAGTCGTGCCCCCAGACCCCCTCGAGGGTCTGGGTGCACGCGGACGTTCATCAGTCACGAGGGATGTCCCCAAAAAATCGCCACTTCCCGATGGAGGAGTGATCCCGAGCCATTACCCTCCTGGGCCTCCCCAGCTGAGAAACATGTCCATCCGGACATATCCGGATTTGTAAGCGGCGTCCATCTCGTGACTATCCGAGTAGGGCGCTCTGTAGCCAGACCTCCGATGCCTCGATTTTTCCATGTGGACTCCCCGGAGCTGTGGACCACCTCCTGGGCACCAGTTTTCGTCCCGGCTCGTTTCTGTTGGCGGCCCCAGGGCCCGGCGAGGGCCCCTGGGCCGAAAACGATGAAAAGCCTCCGTCCTGTCCTTGGGGAAACCAAAAAGGTACCGATACCGCTACTCCCTGGACCTCTCCTGGGGTGCGTTCCGTCCAGGATTTCGAGGCGAATCCAGCGGCGGCGACGAGGGCCGCTCAGGAGTCCCCGAAAGGGGAAAACGGGCGGAGGGCAGAGGTACGGTAGAGAGAAACAATTAGTGAACACCCCCCCTGCCCCCCAAACTCAAAGTTGGCACGCGGGGGGGAGGCTGCGGTCGAGGTGCAACTCATCAGACCCACCGCCAACTTTGAACATTGGGGGGAGGGGGAGGCGTTCACAGATGAATGTGGAATGAGTGTTCGCTATTTTTGTTCCGAGGCCTGTATGGTTACCTTTTCCTCCTCCGAGTTCTCTTCCACACGCTGGAGGCCTGGGCAAGCAGCGCTCATCGCGCGGCTCCGCGTCTGAGCGAGCTTCAAGTCAGCCGCCGCCGCGCTGGCGCGGCAGGCCTGCCCCAAGCCCCTCGGGGCGCCCGAAGGGGGGGGGCTCCTGCCGGGCCCCGCCGAGAAGTAGGAGGAGGAGGAGGAGGAGGAGGAGGTGGAGGAGGAGGAGGAGGAGGAGGGGAGGCGGAGGAGGAACAGGAGGAGGAGGAGGAGGGAGGAGGGAGGAGGAGGAGGAGGAGGGAGGAGGGAGGAGGAGGAGGAGGAGGAGGAGGAGGAAAAGGAGGAGGTGGAGGAGGAGGAGGAGGAGGAGGAGGGGGAGGAGGAGGAACTTAGTGGGCCCTGGAAACGACAGGGCTGTATTTTTACCGGTTCCGTTTCGCCGTTTTTTTGTCGGTTCCGACGCCGTTGTTTTGCCGGTTCCGTCGTCGTTTTTTTACCGGTTCCGGCTCCGGTTCCAAGCCTGAAGCCGTTTTGTTGCCGTTTCCGGTCGCCGTTGTTTTGCCGTTTCCATGTTCAAGGGGCACTTTTTCGGAAACGGTGAAAAAACGGCCCTGCCGTTTCCGGGGCCCACTAAGGAAGGGGCCGCACCAACGCGAGCGACATGGAGCCTTCCCTCTCTCAACACCACCGTGTACACGCTCGGATCCCTCTCGAATGGCCCGTCAAACATGGGATCGGCGATCTACGTAGAAACGGCCCCCTGCAGTGGTCTCGAACACGAGCGAATTCCCGGTTTCACGGAACCCGGCACTTGTGCCATCCCTCACGAATGCGCGCCGGCCACAGTGGGAGGCACAAAAATATACACCACCACCTCCTCACCCCCTCCCCCTCCCAGGAAGGAGGAAAGGAAGAGGAGGGTAGAGGAGGGAGGAGGAATCGAAGTGGTGGTGGTGTATTTTCTTCGGGTCCCCACACAGGAGGTCCGTCTCGAGCGCTGGCCTCAAGCGGCACGCCGTGCCGACGCGGGGGCTCCGCAACGGGACCGTGCCGAGAAGCGCGCCGAGCCGACACGAAGGCACCGATCCAAGCGGCATCAACCCAACCTTCAGTCGGGCGTGTCCCCCTACAGGGGGATTTTCGACGAAAAACAAAAACTACCCAAACATACCCCCAAATGGCGAAAAATACTAAAAAGACAGTCCCCAGACTATTTCTTGACTATTTTTGAAATATTCCCCTGCAGAGGGACAGGCCCGACTTAAACCCAACCCCTCGCCGCTCCTGTGGGCCCGAGGGGCGGCGACGAGGAGCTGCCCCGCGCGAAGGGCTCGAGGAGGGCGAGAGGCTCGAGCAGCTCGCCTCGAGGAGCGCCTGAGCGGGCGGGGCCAGGGCTCCGGAAGGGCGCGCGGGCGCCCCTGTGGCAGGGCAGAGAAGTCATGAGCCCCGCACACTTCGCCTTCTCCCCTCCCCTTCCTCCTCCTCCTCCTCCTCCTCCTCCTCCTCCTCAACCTTCTCCTCAACCACCTACTCCTCCTCTTCCTGCGCCTCCTCCTCTTCCTCTTCCTCCTCCTCCTGTTCCTCCTGTTCCTCCTCCTCCTCCTCCTCCTCCTCCTCCTCCTCTTGGCCTCCTCCTCAACCTCCTCCTTCTGCTCGTCTTCCCCAACAGGGATGGAGAGAGCAGGACGGAAGAGGAGGAGGGGGAGGAGGACACGGGAGAGGACGAGGAAGAGGGAAGATCCTCATCTCCAACTTCGTGACTCGCTCACGGCGTGCACACCTGGAGAGAGGTCTGGGCCCTTCCCCCTGGGACCCCGTCTGCACCCTGGGCCGTTCCTCTTGCTCGGTGACGGGGCCCTGCGCGGGCCCCTGGACGCCGAGCACGGGCAAAAACCTCCCGCCGTGGTTGTTGGCTCACGGTGGGAGGAGGAGGGGAGGTGCTCAGCGAGGAGGAGGGAGGTGCTCAATCCCTTCCCCCCCAGAGGCGGAGGAGGAAGGAGGAGGAGGGAGGAGGGAGGAGGGAGGAGGGAGGAGGGAGGAGGAAGAGGAAAGGAGGAAGGAGGAGAGAAGGAGGAAGGAGAAGTAGGAAGGAGGAAGGAGGAAGAGAAGGAGGAGGGAGAGGAGGAGGAGGATGAGAAGAGGAGTGGAGGAGATGAGGATGAGGAGGAGGAGGAGGAGGAGGAATGAGGAGGAGGAGGGGAGGAGGAGGGAGGGATGAGTAGAATGAGGATGAGGAGGAGTAGGAAGGAGTAGGACGAGGGAGGTGTGAGGTTGAGGTGGAGGTGGATGTGGAGTTGGGGTGGAGTTGGAGTTTGAGGGTGAGTGGCGTATGCATGATTACTGAGGAGAGGGAGGATTTGTGCCTAGGAGTTTGGAGGAGGGACTAGGAAGACGAGGAGGGGAGGTGCTCATCCCTTCCCCCCCCCCCCCCCCAGACGTTGCCCAGGCTCGGGGCGCACAGATCTCGGCCCCCCGAGGGCGCCAGCCCCGCGGCAGTGCACCTGGGCGCGCCGGGAGAAACCCTCGGGCACCGAGCCGACACTCGCCAGACTGGCTCCTCCTCCTTCTCCTCCTCCTTCTCCTCCTCCTCCATCCTCCCTCCTCCATCCTCCTGGTCCTCCTCCCTTCTCCTCCTCCTCCTCCTCCTCCTCCTCCTCCTCCTCCTCCTCCTCCTCCCCTCCTCCTCCCTCCTCCCTCCGTCCCTCCTCCCTCCCCCCCTCCTCCCTACCTCCCTCCTCCCTCCTCCCTCCTCCCCCTCCTCCTCCTCCCTCCTCCTCCTCCCTCCTCCTTCAACCTCCTCCCTCCTCCCTCACTGCCCTCCTCCCTCCTCCCTCCTCCCTCCTCCCTCCTCCTCCTCCCTCCTCCCTCCCTCCCTCCTCCCTCCTCCCTCCTCCCTCTCCCTCCTCCTTCCTCCTCCTCCTCCTCCTCCTCCTCCTCCTCCCCCTCCTCCTCCTCCTCCTCCTCCTCCTCCTCCTTCCTCCTCCTCCTTGCTCCTTCCTCTCCTCCTCCTCCTCCTCCTCCGCTCCTTCCTCCTCCTCTTTCCTCCTCCTCCTCCTCCTCCTCCTCCTCCTTCTCTCATCAAGTTGATCCTCCTCCTTCCTCCCCCGTCCTCCCTCCCCGGTCCCCAGGAGCACTCCGGAGCCAAGGAGACGAAGCCGGGACGCCCGAAATGGGTACGGAAGGGATGGGTACAATGCCCAACAACAAGTGCTGTCCCTAACCAGCAGCGGCCGCTGTTGGGCAGGTGGCCTTCTGTCTCGAATGGGCACAGGCCGCGGCGGCGTGGACAGCGAGTCCTGTTCAAAATGAACAAAATCCGCTGTTGGGCATCGTGCCCATTCTTTCCGGGCCCATTTCGTTCGTGCAGAGACAAGATCGGACCAGGGCAAAGCCGGGGATCTCTCTGAGATCCGGCGGTTCTGGAGGATGTGTCGGGCGCCGAGGCCGTTCCAGAGCGCTCCGAAGCGACGCTCTGCGTTCTGGAACGCTGTGGAGCGACTTTTCCTGGTCCTAGCCCCGCCCGAGGAGGTGGCGGGCGAAACTGGGGACCGCCAAAGTGGGGCCGGAGCAGACGGGGTCGGAGGATCGCGCCGCATCGGCGATGCATCGGGGAACCATCGGCGACGTCGGGAGGGAGAAGATCGAGCTCTGGGTCGCGCGAGCGTCGCCTGTGCTCAGGCGACGCGGCGTGAGCCTCCAACTCTATCCGCTCTAGCCCCACATGGGCGGCCTGGAGAGATCAAAGCCGACTCACTACAGGAGACCCGCACCGTCTAAAGAGGTCCAGAAATTGTGCCCTCCGTGCGGATGGGACGGGTGCCTCATACGGGGGTGTCTAGGCGTGACAATATACAATCATCGTGGGCGGAGAACAGGCGTGTCCGGGTCAGGTCGTCGTAGATCCCCCCCGATGCCCCAGCGGAGCACCACTGAGGGGCTTCCTAAGCGAGAAGGGATGGACAAGAGGAGGAAGAGGATCATCGGTAGCCTTTGGGAGGAGGAGGCGGAGGAGGCGGAGGAGGCGGAGGAGGAGGAGGAGGAGGAGGAGGAGGTTGGAGCGTCTGGGGGGGGGGGGGAGGAGGAGGAGGAGGGAGGAGGAGGAGGAGGAGGGGAGGAGGAGAGGAGAGAGGAGGAGGAGGAGGAGGCCAAGAGGAGGAGGAGGAGGAGGAGGAGGAGGAGGAGGAGGAATGCGGCGAATCGCGCTCTGCCCCTCTGGCGGGCCCGCCAGTGATTCTGTCCCCCCCCGTCGCCTCCGCCCGCCGACCTGCCCCTGCCTGCCGTGCTGCACAGGCGGCCACACGGCCACCACACGCCAAGGCCTCGCCCATCGCTTCTGGCGGCTGCTCCGCTGCTGCGTAGTACAGTCGAGGCGTTGACCTAAGGAACCCTAAATAAGGAACGAGGCCCATTTTTCCCATAAGTTCAACCTCGATGTCCCATCGAAAACCACAGGAAAACCTGAGGCAAGCTGTGAAAAATCAAGGAACACGGAGCCCCTCCTCAACGAAAAGGGTTCCTTCTGCAGCGCCCCGACTGTACACTCGCCCCGCAAGTTGCAGCTAATTAAGGCCGACGGCGTGGCGCACCGTCTGACACGCGCCGACCCCGCCTCGGCTGCTTTTGCCGTCCAGCCGCTGGTTCCGCTACACATCTCTTCTTCTTCTTCAACTTCTTCTTCTTCCGATTTTTATTATTATTAGTATTATTATTATCATTATTATTATTAGTATTATTATTAGTAGTATTATTATTAGTATTATTATTAGTATTATTATTATTATTCGTCCCCGCCCCGCCTTGACACTGCACTTGCGCTGCCCGCTGCCTGCGTGGCCATCTCTTCGCCTCCCTCCCGGCGCTGCCCTCCGTCCTCCTTCGCTCCCTCTTTCCGCTTCGGCCAACGGCAGAGGGGCCACCAGATCCGAAGCCCGGGGCCACGCGCCGCCGATCCCAGACAAAGAGGAGGAGAAGGAGGAGGAGGAGGAGGAGGGAGGGGGAAGGGGATAAGTAGGAGCGGGAGGGGGTCCTGGATTGCAGGGGGAGCAGCGGGGAGGAGAAGGGGTGCGGAACTCGGAGGATGGGGTGGAGGGAGAGTCGAGGGTCTGCGTCTAGACCCAATGTCATACGCGACCGCGTGGGGTTCAAGAGAGGGGGGGAGGGAGGGAGAGAGGGAGGGATGGAGGTCCCCCAACCTGGGGGAACCAAAAGATGCCGATACCGCATCTTCCCAGACCACTAACGGGGAGCGTTCTGACCAGAATTTCGAGGCGAATCCAGCCGTGACGACGAGGGCCTCCCAGGAGGCCCGCAAGGCGAGCACGCAACACGGTCAGCGGCATCGGCCCCCACATCTCCTCCTCTGCCACCTGCCACTCCCGCAACCCAGCGACGCGGCATTCATTGATTACCAGGCCTCCTGCGTCCTGGTTTCTTCACCACGGGGTCCCTGGACCCCCTGACCAGTTTTTCGTCCCCGACCGTTCTCGGACTGCTCCAGGGCCCTGCGGGGGCCCCTAGGTGCCGATAACGATGAAACGCCGCCGTCTCGATAGTCTGGGCTCGTCCCTCGCCGAGGGAAGCCTGAGCATCGTTTAGTCGGCGGCGAGTGAGGGGGGGGAGTGAGAAGAAGAAGGCCTTCTCAGGAGGCTCGGAAGTCCCCTGGCCATCTGAGAAGTTTGAAGACCTAGAAAACTTCTCGGAAGGACGAAGGGCTTCTGAGGAGCCCCGCAGCCTTCTGAGAAGGCCTTCTCCTTCTCAACAATTACTCAATATGAATACTACTCTCCTCCATCCCCTGATGGCGTGCGGAAGATAGCGGGCACCCCTCCGCGTACTGTTTTTTTACACACAGGATTTCCCAGAGTTGGGTTTTCGCT